AAAATATAGGAAAATTCAAAGATTCCAGTAATATCACTTATCTTTATACGAATAACATATGGGAACTGAGAAGTCTAGGTTCCAGCACGCAATTCAACGAATAATATTAGATTATGCTTTTTGAGTTACTTCAAACAAAGTCGACCAGGTGCAGGGACATCAGAGATAGGACAGGATGAGCTGTTTCTTCTGTAAATAAAGAACGTATAAGCTTCACGTTTTTTAAACATAGTAGCGGAAATTATGAACTATAATATGTTGTGTGTTTTTGCAAACATACTAGGAAATGTTGGGCTATATGAAAAGATTGGTTAGAATTACAGTTGTGATTTTGAAAGCAGATAAAAGTTGTTTTTCCCCACGCAAGATTCGAATTGGGCAAAGCGGGCAGTTGTTCTTGGTTAATGTAATTAATGTAATTATTATTTCATCTATTGACTCTTTCTAAAACAATTGATATTTTTTGAAGCTGGTAAGATGCAGCATTCCCAAAGGTATATGTGGCAAATTACTTAGTTTTGCAGTTTTCTATTGGACTCTGATCAAGTTTTCCTATGAAATATATCAAAAATTGGCTCTATTTCCCATACATTATTCAGGGCAACGTTTCGCTATCATGGAAGAGAAGTGTATTCTGGCAATGGTGATGCGTAATCTGAGAGTACGTTCGTTACTTCGAACTGACCAAATGCGCGTTGCAGCCGAACTCATCATCAGACCTCTCTATGGCAATCGCATAAAATTTGAAAAGAGATCGTATGGCGATTACACGCACTGCAGCGCTTGAAAATATCATTCTTTCTAAATAACACTTCCATATGTATACTTTGCATACATTTGTGTCACCACTATGGGCAATTCTAATTTTATGAAAGTCAGCCTATTATCTGTTATTTATTTGTGCTTTGAATTTGACGTTCTTGATTTACAGTTCGCATATATATCAATCTTTGTTCGCTATATAACTGCGTGCTTATTTTGCAGTCTTTGCTAATCTACTTTTGTTTCTTTATTGCATATTTCAATGAATGATATCAGTCATAAAATGAATCACATGTGTCTTGGAAGATTACCAGTTATCAGCCACTTTGATTGATTTCC